ACTCGTGGCATTTTTTTAGATATCGTGCGAACAAAAAAGGGGAGAAAGAAAGAAGAACTAGATTTAAACTCGTCACTGAGGACGAGTTAGGTGATCCGCCGCACTTAACCCTCACGAAGCACGCACGTTTCTGATTGAAAAGTATTATATGGTAAAACATGCTCTATTTAAAGAGTAATTTTGAGCATTTTAAAAGGAATTTTAAAGGAAAAGAGTAATTTAGATGTGTATAAGAGACAGCTTAATAATATACGTCTTAACATCCGTGTGCACGGTAGTATTAATACAGTGTCAGAAACCCAACACATGTAACCGAAACGTAATTTCCAGCTTCAGTACGTGCTGTTGGCGTGGAAATGAGCGTACGGCTCGTCATTTTGGAAAGTTTTGAAATTTTCAAAATGACTTGAAACGTGCTTTTAAATATCTGAAAAGTGATATTAACAATTTTTAAAATTTTAACGCACAAGTACGAATACCTTATACGACGTGCCTGACGACGGTAATGGCACATGAATTTAAACCTAATGCCACACGAATTTTCCCTTTACAGTATACGAGCTATCGGTCTGATAGTGTCGAAATACAGTCTGCCGCCCTCTATTTTCAATGTGTTTACATCTTTTAGAAAGAAAGATGAGAAGGCTACAAAAAAAGCATTCTTTTTTAACATGATGACGTCATCAAAGTAAAAAATAAATGGAGACGCCGAAAGAGAATTGATTTAGCTATAACATACTCACAGGTGGGAGACAATCAATCAAGAATAAGCGAGATACGTTCAAACGTGTATAAACATAATGGCATCATAAATAAAAATTCAGTTTTTTAATTCAATTGGCAATATGATGACGTCACAATGTCCATCAGCCATTATGATCTATAAAATCGTATCTACAACTCATGTGCTCTCGGAATATCTAATAAATATTGGGTGTCACCTTTCATCCTAAGGAACTAAATTTGATTATAAATAGGGATAATTATAAGCATATGCAATTTTTGACGCACGCGTTCGCGCACGTTAAGACGCGCAAACAAAAAGTAAGATACCTAACATTCAACCTTGACCTGAAGTATAAGCCCATTAATTATTATTCAGAATTGACGAATGGTTAAGATGATTTTACGTCATCAACGTTTTGAGAAAAGAAATATATATATATATATATATTTAAATTCAAAGGGCAATATGATGACGTCACAATGTCCGATCAGCCATTATGATCTATACAATCGTATCTACAACTCATGTGCTTTCAGAATATGTAATAAAAATTGGGGGTCACCTTTCATCCTAAGGAGTTATATTTGATAATAAATAGGTATAATAGACCTTTCCGGAGTGTCAATCAAACTTAACAACTGACTAATCAGAACAGCGCTAGGAATACGCGCACCTCTTACAAACACATGTGTTGTCCAAAAACGCACGTGTTCGCGTATGTTTTAACACTGCCGTCTTGTGGGACCTTAGCAACAATATCCGAGGGGCGGAGCTTAGCGGAAAGGTCCATTATAAGCATATGTAATTTTTGACGCACGCGTACGCGCACGTTAAGACGGGCAAACAAAAAAGTAAGATACCTAATATTCAACCTTGACCTGAAGTATATAAGCCCATTTTATATTACTCAGAAATGACAAATGGTTAAGATGATATGACGTCATCAACGTTTTGAGAAAAGAAATATAAATTGTTTCTTGTTTTATAATTCAGATGGCAATATGATGACGTCACAATGTCCGATCAGCTATTATGATATATCAAATCATATCTACAGCTCAAGTGCTTTTAGAATATCTAATAAAAATTGGGGGTCACCTTTCATCCTAAGGAGCTATAACTGATTAAAAAACGACATGATATAAAGCATATTTAAATTTGACGCACGCTAACACTCGCGTTATTACGCGCGCACAAAAATATAATGTACATAACATTTAACCATGACCAGAAGTTTATGCCCACTAAATAGGATTCAGAAATCATGAATGATTAAGGTGATTATGGGGTCATCAATGTTTTGATGAAAGAAAGATGAGGGTGGTAAACAAAACCCTATATTTTGACCATGATGACGTCATCAAAATGTAAAAGTGTCAAATATAGGAAAGAGAATTGCCTCAGCTATAACATAATTAAAGTTAGAAAAAATCGACAAAAGAATAAGCGAGATACGCTCAAATGCGCATTTTTTTTAAATGACGTCATCGATAATACTCAGTTTGTGGAATTTAGATGGCAATATGATGACGTCATAATATCCGATCAGCCATTATGACCTATAAAATCATATCTACAACTCATGTGCTTTCAGAATATGTAATAAAAATTGGGGGTCACCTTTCATCCTAAGGAGCTATAACTGATTACAATTTTTTTGACCATGATGACGTCATCAAAATGTAAAAGTGTCAAATATAGGAAAGAGAATTGCCTCAGCTATAACATAATTAAAGTTAGAAAAAATCGACAAAAGAATAAGCAAAATACGCTCAAATGCGCATTTTTTTTAAATGACGTCATCGATAATACTCAGTTTGTTGAATTTAGATGGCAATATGATGACGTCATAATATCCGATCAGCCATTATGACCTATAAAATCATATCTACAACTCATGTGCTTTCAGAATATGTAATAAAAATTGGGGGTCACCTTTCATCCTGAGGAACTATAACTGATTCAAAATAGGTACAATTTTGACTCATTTTGACTAAAAATAGACAAAAACGCGCAAATACACACGTATATTAGATGTGCGCGTACTGCACTATTATTAGACGTAAAATTACTGAAAAAGAATGCAAATATGTCATTACAGTGTAAGAAACTCAAAATATGTCAAAAATTGTAATTTGAATCATCTGCACGAGCTGCGCGCGCGAAAATGCGCGCGTGACCTGAAAATTTGTGAAAAAGTTGAAATGGTCAGAATCACCTGAAACGTACACAAATTTAGTCAAAACGTGATTTTGAGCAAATTTAATTTTTAGCGCACGCGTACGTGCGCATAATGAACTGCAATTCGGACAGTACTGTGCATATGGATAGTACATGACATGAAGTATACCTGTGTGAGGTTTCAACAAAAGAGGCCTAGCAATGGTGAAGTTATGATCAATCAAAAAATTTGCTACGTAAAACGCAAAATTGCGCGTAGATGACGTCACGCGTGACTGTTCACGCTGAAAAGCTTATTGTATCGATTCCAACCCAAGACTAATGATTGTTGAACATATCATGTTGATCGGTTGAAGGAATCTTGAGTTATCGTGGTCACAAATTTGGGGAGAAAGAAAGAAGAAAAAGAAAGAAAGAAAGATTCTGACAATAACAATAGGTGATCCGCTAATGTTAGCGGATCACCAATAACAATACAGAAAGCACAGTATGACCAAATTAGTTCAGACTGTGAAGACGATCCTTAAGTTTAGTTGAGAATTGATTTAAAATAAAAACACTATAATTTTGTATATCAACAGGTAATAATTTATCCCACATCCGAGGGAAGCGTATAAAAGTAGAGCGAAAAAACTATTTCAGTTGATCAAGGTTCCTAGCATGAGGCTATGTTAAAATGGATTGCTCTTTATGGATCTCCATGTGAAGACTCTTCATAATGAACATAATGTAAATATAAAGTAATCGACTGAAAAATAAGGTGATTTAAGTTTAACTGATCTATCAGAATATGAAATATGGGTTGGGTGAACATGCCTAGTAAAACGGAAACAGGCCCGAATATAGCATATCTGAATTGACTTGCGTTTGTCAATGCGACCTTGTTGAAACGGTAACCACACAGGAATACCGTACTAAATCAGCTGGTCTTAATAAAGAATTATACAACTTCATGAGAACAAAAGATTCGGGGACGTAACTGTACGTTTAATAAAACTTAACTGTTCGTCTAAAAAAACCTCAACTTTTAGGTCAATTAAAATAAATTTATGAAGAATCTATGCCATAGTTGACAACTTACCAAAACTCTTTCACGTTTCTGGTTTAATGTCCCTTGAATAGTGGTCCTATTCAAGAGAAACCCTTATTAAGGGGATCATTTTTAGTTCCGAAAGTGTCATCTTAAAGAGGTTATACAGTATACTGATAATTCCAACAACAAGCTTTCATAAAAAATGATATTAAGTGTGAAAATCTGTTGCTGAGAAGGTTAAATAATACTGTAAGTTATTTTTCAACATACGGCTAAATGGAAGTCAACAATTGAATGGATTAGCCGATGAGTGTTACCGCCAATTTTGGAATAATCACATTTACAATATTGTATTAAGCACATACTTTTATATTAGATTTTTTCATGTGCAAAAAATTACAGAAAAATATATAAAATATAATAGCAAATAAAAATATGACTATAACAGCACTAAGTGTTCAAGTGTCTCATCCAGTTCATACGTTTTTTACCTGTGACATGCAAGACTTCACAACAGCATTTACGAGAGTAGGCCTACTGTAAATGCTCGAACAAGCGCCGCTCTCGAATGAACGCCGCACCAAACGTGATTTATTTTCGTTATACGCCCCTCTCGAATAATTAAAAAATCTCATTATTTTTCAGACACTCAAGATAAATCATCGTGGGAGTTTGTACCTAGTGATATTTGTGACTCCTTTTGTACGGGCGGGAACTGCTGCCAGGCTCAAAAGGCAAATTGTGCATGTGCTCTTCAAAGTGGAGCCTATGGATGTGCATGTGCCCCAGGTTACACAGGGTATGGTCTGAATGAGCAATGTTCACGTAAGTTTTATCTATAACTGGCGCCTGGTATCTGTGCAGACCACGGGCTAAGATCGCTTTCAGCAGCCCAAGGTTTAGCAGCCCAAATTTAAAATGGTTTAGCAATATAATGATGTGTACCATCTTGACGAATGCCAGATAATAATCACGACACTTATTATATCTGTTTGTAAAACAAAACATATGGTTTTTCTTCATTGTCATAATGAGAAGTGATTTTAAAATTACACACAAAAAAATCATTTAAAATGTCTAATGTGAAAAATACACGGAAAACAAAAATTACATCATACATTTGCTTGGACAATGTTAGAAGAAGATTTAGGCACGGAAAGTGACCAAAGTGCCGGTCAGAAAAACTTTGTGCAAGAAATAGGAAAACACACACACACATACATAATATACACATACATATATATATTTTCATTTTCATTGTACATAATTCCTTTCAATTACTATATCCTAATTAATGTTTACATCATTTCTTAGTATTTTTTCTAGAAGAGAAAACATTTGTACTACAAATACAAAATACATTATTTTTTATTTATTTTTTTTACTTTTTTTTTGCTTATAGCCTTTAATTAGGCCAATAATTGATAAAGTTACACATATTTGGTATTTGTAATAAATGGTTTTATTAGTATCATTTCTACAAACATTTCTACAAATATACTATCTGACCAATGTTCATTATTACATTTTCTTATATTATTACAATAGTATTTTGTATTTTTCACCATTTTCTTTGTCATCATACATCTCAATTTTAATTTTCAATAGGATATCGCACTTAAAGGAGCTCTACAGTGATTTAAAAGTTCTCTTTATAAATTGTAAATGCTGCAGATGTATATATTAAATCTTCTAATACACATCCAGTTCCAAGAATAAGTTTTTTAAATGATATATCGTCATTTGTAATACACCTTAAGACACTACTTACTTTCCTCCAAAATGTTTCTATATGCGAACAACTAAAACGCAAATGGTTTTCATCTTCAGGAACTCCACATTTGCTACACATTTCGGATTCCTTGATTTTCCATATGTATAGCCTTTTGTTTGTAGGCAATATTCGATTTAAAATTTTGTAATTGAATTGTGCTAGCTTTTTGTCCTTCATTTTACACACTTTATATAACCAGCACGTTTTCCAGTCGATGTTGTTGTTATTGAAGTATTTTTCCCATTTATTTTGTCCATTAGGTGTAACAAACATTTCATTTACAAAGCACGAATGTATTTGAAAGCTATTGAATATTAGGTTTTTCTTTAATTTCACAATTAATAGCAGTTTTAATTACATGTTTCCATTGATCAGGTATGGCCTTAAGTATACACAAATATTCGTTTAGCCAATTTGACTTATATTTCAATTTTGCCAACAAGTTATTTGAGTTTAAAAATTTGTTTTTGTTGACTTATGTCTTTTTAAACATTAAAATTATACCACTAGTAATCCAGTGTCTGTAACAGAGTGATTTGCTTTTTAGTTGTATTGCATGGTTGCCCCATAGCTGCTCATTCAGTATATCATCATATGTTTTAAATTGTTTCTTGTTACATTTGTTAAACTCTGTACATGCTTGGATAATATTTTTATAGAAGACCGGTAAGTCAAGTGCATTGATATCAGTAACTCAAACATGTCATGTTAAACATTACTTTTACCGCGGCTACTATCTGAAAAAAGTATTCTGGGATAATTTTCCACTTTGCTTCGTCATAGTTTAGAAATCGTTTTACCCACGCGACATTTAATGCCTTAATATGTAATCCAAACTCTGGAATTTTAATGCCATCTTTACTTACATCACCAATTAACGTTTTTCTTTTTATTTTTTCACCTTTATAATTCCAAATAAAATCATGTATTAAACGTGTAACTTTTGTAATGACATACTTTGGTACGTTTATAACATTTGCAATATTTGTAAGTTTTGCCAGTGGAAGGCTCTTTAAAATTATAACTTTTCCAAACAGTGAAAGATTTCTTAAACGCCATAATTTTAGAGTTCTCTCAAGCTCTAACACTTTTTCATCCCAATTTTCAGCACTACATAAATCTGAATTGTATCCTACATAGATTCCTAAAATTTTAACCGGCTGTTTCACCCAACACATATCAAGTGGTTCATCCATTCTATCTCTCCACTTACCAATCCAAAAGGCTTTTGTTTTTTGTCTATTTAGTGTCACTCCTGATACTTTACAAAAGGATTCAATAATATTGAGAGCTACTTGAAGACTATTTTCGTCTCCAACATACAGAACAGTATTGTCTGCCAGTTGACTAATTCTGGCTTCTATATTACTTGATTCATTAGGCAAATCAATCCCCTTGTAAACAACGTTACCTCTCACATTTGAGGCCATAACCTCGACCACAAGTATAAATAAAAGTGCTGATAATGGGCAGCCTTGTCGTATGCCTCTCTCCATGCTAAAACTTTCCGAAACCTATCCGTTATTAATTGAAACACATTCGACATTTTATATAACACTTCAACCCATTTACAAAATGAATTTCCAAAGTTAAACTTTTTTAACACAAAAAACATAAAATCTCTATTAACTGAATCAAAAGCTTTTTTTAAAGTCAAAGATCATCATTGCCCCTTCAATATCATGTCGTTCGGTATAGTACAACAAATCTTCTATTAAACGGATATTCTCTCCAGCCAGACGCCCTTTTATGTATCCCTTTTGATCTGAGTTTACTAGTGATTTAATTAAATAAGTCCATCTGACCCTGGGGATTTATTTTTATTCATATCTGAAAGAGCATTCTCACACTCATCAATAGTGACAATGCCTTCACAGAGATCTTTTTCTTCTTCCGAAAGTGCGTTCACCCTGGTATTTGCTCAGGGCATATAGATTGATTTGCGTATAGATTTTTAAAATGTGTAACTTGTTCTCTTAAAATATCAACTGAGCTAGTAACCTTGGTTCCTAAGTTAGTAAATAAATTTTTAATTTGTTTGTTCTTGCTATTTGTTTTTTCTA